TATAAAATAAGCCCCGGGTTCTTTCACTCAGCCTTGATTAAATGGCATCTGATGAAAAAAAAAAAACATTAAGTAAAGAAGCTGTTGACACAGAGCTTTGAGGGTGCAAAACCCTGGGTTCTCTGGAGCCTCGAAGAGGCGGATGAGAAAGGTTAGATAATATTTACATATCAGATACCAAATTTAGGTGAAATCCATACTTTTTCTGGATCTGATCATCTTAAAGTTGAGTTTGCACCTCAGTCTAGACGTGAGAAGAGAAAAGAGTTAAGAGTTTAAGGACGACCAACTTGTAATCATGAGACCATTCGAGTTTGCTGCCGGAAATTGCTCACTTAACGCAGCTAAGCCGTGTTTATCAAAGGGGGTTGCATTTTCTCACCAGCCTTGCTATAATTAATACACCAACTATGACCTCACTGGTCTTGTTATAATTCAGCCAGTGAGAAAAACTCAGTGGAGCCTCTTAAAATTAGGAGCATGACTAAAGGCATTCCTTCCCTAAAAAAAAAAAAAAGAAAGAAAAAGAAAAGAAAAGAAAAAATAAACAACTTGTTCCAATAGATTAACTTCAAAACACCATGCAGAATCTCGATTTTCCACAACAGGAGAATTCTCAAGGGAGGAGGGTTCATGACACCCTGAAGACTTTTGTCCCTTTCTCATGCCAGCCTATGGGTACAGCATCAAGTCACCAGGGTCTATTCCTAGAGGCTCAGCCACTGCTCATTTCTCCTACTTCCCTCCAAGTTTGCAGAAAATATAAAATGCCTCTTCTCCACAGGCCACTTCCTTCCCCGGAGCTCAGCCCCAGAGCGGGGCTCTGGGAAAGCTGGCGGGGAGGCCGCAGGGTCCAGGAGCTGAGGGAGGACTCAGCCATTCTCCAGCCCAGCCCGGAGCCAGCCTTCCTGAGCCACGATGGCCACTGGAAAAGCAATTTGCTTCTTAATGCACATTCTCCTCCCACTCAGGATCAGAGAAGTGGTGCTGGCTGCTGTTGAAAGCTTTTTGGGCTAGACACAAATATTAATAGAATGACAATTGGAAAATAACAAATGTACCATTATTATGCCAGGCGTCTCTCAGGGGAGCTGGCTAGCTGGCAGTTCCAGAACTGCCAGGAACCCATTGGCAGTGTGCATCCCGGCCTCCCAGGCCAGGCACATCCAAACAGGAGGGGTGCTTCACCCCCGACCCCCGACCCTTCCTGCACACATCCCAAAAGCAGGTGTGTGCCAAAGGGCTGGCTTGCGTGGTTCCAGGAGACTCGGAGCAGGATTTTTTGAAAGATCAATCGCCCAATTGAAAATAGTTGAAACTGTCCTCAGTTTCTAGGCTTGGCTAAGTTGAGAACAGGCTAGATACCAAAGAGGCATCGAATCCTCATAGACTCTCAGTGCTGAAGGCCACCCAGACGCCCCAAGGCCATCTGCCACCCTCCCTCCGTACAGAGGACACCCAGCTCAAGATCAAAGCTCCAGGGAGGCAACTCTACCTCCCTCTTCTCTCCTATTTGACCTTCTCAGCTCCTTCTTTCCCCTCCTTTTCTTCCTCTCCTCCCCCTCCTCCCCCTCCGTCTCCCAGTACCCACCCTGCCCACCTCCCTTCCTGGTCGCCTCTACCTGTTGTCCTGAGCCTTCAAATGCTCACCGAAGGGGTCTCTCCCAATTTCAGGAGCCAGACCTGCTGGTGAGAGGAGCCAACGCCACGAGGAGAGCCAGGACAGAGCCAGGGGCCACTTTCCTCCGCCTCACTGGGGGATGGGACTGCATCTCTCCCCTACTGGGAAGGCTGCGAGATAGAGTGGAAGACACAGGCCCTAAGTCACAACCCCAGATCCAGCAGTTTCTAGCTGTGTGACCCTGAGCGAGTCACTCTACCTCCCTGGGCCTCGGTCTCTTTGTCCAGAAGAGTGGGCATAGGAACACCTCCAATCTGAGAGTTGCCTTAAAGACGCAGACAGTATCTGGCCCCTGACTGGCCATCAGTAGAGTGAGTCCATCCCTTCTCCTCCCCTCTCCTTTCTGTAAGTCAGGAGTGGGGCTCCCTGATGATTCATGGCTTCCTCGGACAAACAGCCCCAGCTGTTTGGTACCGGGACCCATCTGTACGACACCCCAGTCCCTGCCCAGATCTCAGAACAAATCAACTTCTGAAGGGGCTTCTGTGTCTGCTCTCAGGCCTCTTCTGGGCCGGGCCAGGAGACCACCAGTAAGAGTCAACTGGGATCAGACTCTGGGAGTAGCCGTGGATCAAAGGAACAGAACTCCCATGATCGCCAGGGTCTCCCAGAACCTGTTGACAGTTGGTTCATTTCACCTCCTTTTCTGAGCCCTAGAGTACTCCACCCTCAAGCAGCTGATGCGCAGACAGCTGGCCCCCGGCCTCCATGCTGTCCCTGTGCTGGACACTGCCACCCGGAGTCTGCCCTGCGAGGAGTCTGCTCCTCCAGGCAGGAGAGCCAATCAGGCTCCACTTCCTGGAAGGATTCACACCTGGCCACCAGGGCATGCACACCTCCAGGTGGTCAGACCTCTGGATATTTTCCAAGGGGTGCCCCTGGCTGCCCCCCCGCCATCCTTGAGAAAATGCAGGGACTATATAGAGCCTGGAAAGTAGCTTTTGAAAAAAATTTTAATGTGCATTCAAAAGGTTTTCCGGAATAAAAGCCTGATAATGATCAGTAACATTAACATAATACTTTGAAGTTTCTGCAAAACTTTTATCCATTTAAACCCTGTCAAAGTAAGTTAACTACTATCATAAATGACCCCAAAATTTCAGGGCCTTCACATGATGAAAGAATGTGTTGTTCTCATTGCATTTCAGTGCAGATGGGCAGAGACAAGGGGAACTGGATCCTGTGCAGACACGGGACCCAGGCTCTTCTCTTCTTGTGGCACTTGCCACCCCCCAGAACCTCCAAGTCCTTCCCTCGCAGAGCCCTGCAGGGGGTGACGGAGTGCGGAAGGTCCTGCGGAAGGTTTCCGTGGGCTGGGCTGCAGAGCGAGGAACAGCGACTGCACCCACGTTCACTGGCCAAAACTCAGTCGCACGGCCCGCCTGATTCCAAGGAGGGAAGGAGACAGCAATTGGTGAACAGCACAGTCTGTGCCACAAAACCTTGACACAAGTATTTTTTTTCCCCAAAGCAGAAAACGAAGGCTCAAAATGACCAACAGGCCCAATACCACTGTCAGTAAAGGGGCAGATGCAGGGCTTGAACCCAGGTCTTCCAGCCTCAGCCCACTCTTTCTCCATGGCGAATCTCTCCCACCTACGGGTACGTGTAGCCCAGCACATTAGTGCATCTAAAAGATGACTCAGGTTTTCCCACTGGTTATTGTTTGTTTGTTTGTTTTGTAAATACCAAGAGCCCTCTGCTCTGCCCACTGTTTGTCTTCGGATCCCCTGTATCCACCGCAATGCCCCATAGGAAACCACTAAATGCTTGTCGAGTGATTTATTGGTGAGCTGGGAGACTGGCAGTTGTGCCCAGCAGAAAACCAATGTCTCTAACTTTATTATGGACAGTGTCCTGAACTTTTTCTTGGCTCCTTAATTTCCAAGTACAATTTCTTTTCTAAAGAATCTCATCTCTTGGTAGAACAACAGCGAGGGGGCTTTGTCCTCGCCCGCGGCAGTGGTAGCAGTGAGAGCAGGATCAAGACCCAGGTCCATGGAAAGGAGAGATGAAGAAAAGTGTCGGGACTCAGGAGAAAACTCTTCACCGAAACCGAATTACGAGTTTGCAGCCAAGTCTCAGGCTGCAGAAATTCCTCAGGCTGCGCAAACTCAGGCCACCATCAACACAGAGGAACAAGAAAGCGCCTGAGGGTGCAAATCGGTCAAAAGAGCAGACGGCTTGCATTTCGGCTGGTGCCCTAAAGGACACCTCTTTACATGATTGTCACCTGCTAAACCCGGAGAGACAGACCCACAGGCTTTGAGAGTTCGATGACCTTCAGAAGTTAAGGACAGGAGCACTCTCTGGGCAAACAAGGGGACTGCACTGGCCCCCTGGGTTTAGTTAACACCACAGCTGTTCTGTTTGCAGGAATAAACAGACCCCCCCCCCACCAGGGAACCTGCCAACACGTTCATCAGCCACTTCCTATGCAGCAGACACAGTGGCTGCAGCCGCACGTTCATGACCCAGGCTGCGGTGTGGAGACAATGCCCCGGTGTTCGGTGATTGGAAACACAAAATGCTGAGCGGTCAGGCCCTCCACCGCTGTTCAGGCACACGGGCTGCCAGCCTCCAGGGCAGCCTAAAGGCCACCAGGGTGTCACCAAGCCTTTGGGTCTAGTCATCGCTTGCAGCAGCGGGCAAAGGGAGGAGGCAGTCCCCTCTCTGACCCTGGAGTGACACATCCCGACAGCAAGGAGATGGCCTCTCCTGCTAGCCAGAGAGGCAGAGAGAGGCCAGGAGCCCGGAAGCCCTTTCCAGGCTTCCTTGCCAGCCATCGGCACTGCTGACAAAGCGTGAGTAGCCACCACACTTTGGGGACGAAGTGCAGGCCAGCTTCCTGGGGGAAACCCTTTCCACGCTGGTTCCTGGGCTCAGCCCACCCCCAAACTTCTCCTTCACTCATTCAGTCAGCACAAAGTTATTGATTTCATAGTCTGTGCCAAGCATAGGGCTGGGTGCTAGGGACCCAGCGAGATCCAGGCCACATGTGGCCATCAGCTCCCTGGAACTTACATTGTTGTGCATGGAAAACAAAGGTCAACTGGTGGTTAAACACTCAATCTCCTAAAGCAGTAAGGATTTTAAAGGAAGTAAAACAGAGTCTGGTGAAGGAAAGGTCAAGGGTCAGAGGGCTACTTTGGACTTCGAGGTCAGAGACGCCCTCTCTGAGAGCTAAGAGGAGAGGAGCAGCCGCACGAACAGTGGGGAAGGCTTGCCCCAGACAGCAGCCCCTTGGGGTGGGATCAGAGAGGTCGAGAGTTGGGAGCGGCAAAAGGTCAGTCAATCAGTCAGCAAATGTTTACTGAGCACCACCCATAATCCCCTGAGGGCACCGCAGTGAAGACACAAATCCCTGCCCTTGTTTGCGCCCGGGGCGGGGGACACACAGCCAACAAATAAATGGATAAACAACCGCACATTGGGTTGTGGTCAGCGCTCTGAAGGAAATGTGGGCTGTAGAGCACGCCGTAGATGGGACAGAAAGGCAAGGCCACCGCGCAGGAAAGCAGAGCTGGAGGCGGTGACAGACGAGCCGTGGGGGAACCTGAGGAGCAGAGTACAGAGCCTTTAGTTGTCAGATCAAGTGCGGGATACCTGGTTACATCTGAAATTCAGATAAACAAACACTGCATGGGCATGCTCGTACTAAAAATGATTCATTGTCTATCTGAAGTTCAGTGTTAACGGGGCGCCCTGCATTTTTATTCCCTCAATCTGGCAATCTAAGAAAGAGAGAACGGAAGGTCTGAACATGCTTGGTGAGCATGGAGGCGACAGGGGGGCGTGCAGCGGGAGGGGAGAGGCCAGGGCCCGGTGAGCACAGTGGGCTCTGATCTAGGGGGCATGGGAGCCCCGGGAGGATTCTGAGCAGCTATGGGAAGGATGGAAAGAGGAGGCGCAACATTGCTACCCTAAGCATCCCCCCTCCAGAAGAGTCAGATGGAGGAGATCAAAGATCAGACTTATCCCAGGGCCCACTATACTAACCCGCCACTGTGCAGCCACACAGAGGAGAACTAGGGAGTTAGGGGACCACAACTTGGATGGGACCGCACGCCCTCTGACTTCCCCTTCTCTCAATCTCTCCGGGGCTCTCTTCCATCAGTGGGGGTCCGCTGGTTAGTCGGGGTGTCCAGAGCTCAGGCCGTCTCTGTGTCCTGATCCCCCAGGGGGAGGTTTACGTTAGACAGCCCCCCCCCTTCTCTTGACCTGACTGTTCTTCTGTCAAGTTCGGGTCACGACAGTGGGAAAGGAGGAGCTGGGATTATCTGGGGTCCAGCCTCTATGATCGACTCCTTCTTCGTTGTCAGCAGGTCTGTGCCTACAGTCTGGGCCCCTGGTGCTCCAGCTGTCAGCTTTTATCAACAGCAAGAGTAAACACAGGCAGATGCTGGCTGTTCCCAGGATGCTTTGTAAAGCTTCTCACACTGGGCTTGAAAAGGAACACTTTCTGGGATTGACTCAGGAGGTGATTCTATAAGAATCCTGATTCCAGCCAAGAGGGGACAAGGAAAGAGCTGGGACGAGGGGCCTGTCCCTTAAGGACATGAGGAAAGGAAGTTTCTTTAGGGCCTCACAAGAAGCTTCAGATCTGTTTCTGATAGAGGCATTCAATTCCAGTTTCACGGATGAAGAATCTTCTACAAAGAGCATTGATTCAGGAATTGATGGGAGAAGCATAGATCTACCTAGAAGGCATTCTCCAGTGATTTGTCTGTCTTTGGCTTTGTCCTATAAAGCATCTACTTGAACAGCTTGGCTGAAAGCATGCCATTGGGGTTTACAGATGACCGCAAACAAAGGGGTAGCGTGATGTGTGTATGTGGGGGAGAGAATGCAGAGCCAGCTGGGCAACCTTGGACAACTTGCTTAACCATTCTGAGCTGCAGTTTCTGCATCTGTACAATAAATAATAAATCCTGCCTCTTTAGACTGTTCTGGAGATTTACTGAAGCACCTATTCCAATGTCTGGCACAAAGGACACCCTCAGTAGAGAGTAGTTCCCTTCCCTCTATTTTGTCATCTGTAAAATGGGGACAATAAACATATAAACCCAAAACCCAATGGACTGGATAACTAATAGACCAGAATTAAGAAAACACACACTAATTACTCACATGGAAACAACCGGGGCCCTTCGGCAGATGACTGGATAAAGACAGATAGGTGGTGCTCATGCGCAGTGGACCGCTCCCTGCCCTGAGTTGAAAGACTGCCATGTGGGACGACGTGGAAGGCTCTTGAGAATATCGTGCTTGGCGTAGTAAGTCAAGAACCATACATCTTCACTCACGCCTGGGCTATAAAACGGAAAGCAACAAACAAGACAGACAAACAAGCAAAGCTCGTAGACACAGACAACAGTACAGTGGTGACCAGAGGGAAGGGGCTGGAGATGGGCAGCAAAGGGTAAAGGGGATCAAACCTACGGTGACAGAAGGAGGTGAACACACAATGGTGAACTTAACTTTGGTGGTGAACACACAATGTAGTCACACATGTCGCCTCAATAAGTGAAATAGATTTTTTAAAAGAAGCTGCACGTTAATAAGCCATGCAATTAAAAATTAATGACAGCGCAGAGAATGCAAGCTTGATATCAATTCCAGTGAAAAAGACCCAAGAGTTTTAATTAGCCACGAGCTCAGCTTGAAACAAGAGTGGGGCTCGTTTACCACGAGAAGCTTATGCAATCACAGGTTATATAATATTAATTAACATACACTGAGTATTTACTATGTCCCAAGTGATATTCTACGTAGCGCACTTTACCCATTTAATGCCCCCAGTGACCCTACGGGCTGCTGCTTTTATCACTAGTTTACCGATGATGAAAGAAATGGAGAGGTTCGGTGAACTGATGGTGGTCACACTTGGTAACAGCAGAGCCGCGCATGTTCAGGCCGAATCTGGAGCTCCCCGGTCAGTCCTGAGCACTGTATCAGCCACAGCCACGTGGTCCCCATGCTGATGGCACCTCAGGCTTCAACTGTCTGTGCCCACAGGAGGGGAGGTGAAGGGTGGCGTGGCTTAGAATTAAGCCGCTCGCCCGGGCCCAGGCTCTGAAGGCCCAGCCAGGACACCCAGACATCCACATCGCCCTTCAGGACACCTGACTGCCGGCTGGGCAGAGACTCTGTGCCCTGAGGGAGGGCCTCAGTTACCCTGTTGCCCTTGAATTGTCATATCGCTTCCCTCCTTCCTCTCCCACAGCCCATTCAACCGATCCCCCCCCAAGTTGAATGCCACCGCCATTTAAAACGACGGTACAGAAGAATGCGGCAAGCTGGGTATTTCTTTGAAGTCTCTTATCTTCTCTGAAAAATGCATGCAAATTTTGTACTTTCCTCCAGACACTATCTGGGTGTGTTTTAATATAAAAATAATATTTTAAGTGACTTACCACTGAGTCAAATTGATAGTCTAGAGTGATCAACCATGGACTTCCCGCCGCTTCACAGAGCTCTCGGCACAGAGCTACCTGTCCTCAGTTTGAAAGCTCAGGCCTGCAGATGCATATTTCATAATATGCAAAGATGGCCGGAGCCCATCAGCAGGTGATAAAAGCAGATTACGGAGCGGTATGCACAGTAGGATTCTATTTTTAGATCCTGTCTGGAAGCTTCCGTGTGTACCAAAATGTTAACAGAGGTTATCCCTGGCCTGTAGGAAAGTTTTCTTTTGCTCTTTTTTGCTTCTTATCCATCATACAATTTTCCTACAATGAGCATGTGTGTCATTTGTGGGGTGGAGTGTGGGGGTGGAGTAAGGGGTTTTATTGCGGTAGGTTCTTTTGGAGGGGGGTAGATTTGCTTTGTAAGATTTATGTGTTCACAGCTGCCTGAGTTTTCCGGACCCTCGCTGCAGCAGCTGGACCTTTCGGACCCCGGAGCAGGGGAGCCGAGCCAGCTGAGCACACCACGCACACCACTCTCTCCAATACCAAACCGGCGTCTCACCTCGCTGCTTGGTCAACTCCGCCTGTTGTGACCTTCAACATCCCACTGCTCCCACACACCCATCTCGCCTCCAGGCTTGCTGTGGGGCACCCGAACTGCCGGTCTCCTGCTCTGCTTCGTCTTAAGGCAAAAGGCTTCCGTATGCTGCCCCCCAGCAACCAACCCCCAATGTAACCCGGGTCCCGCCACCTCACCTCCAGTCTTCACGCTGCCAGCTCACACACACCACGCAGCGAAGTGAAGGCCTCTCCACGCGGACTGGCCTCACGCCGATGCTGCCGGCATCTTGTCACAGCTCACTGCACATCTGGGACCTTGGCTCAACTCTCAGCCTCTTGCTTAGAGGTCACCCCACTGCACGTTCAGTTGCCCAACTTTGTCTCTTCCCAGTTCTAAGGTTTCGATCCAGGCTCCCTTCCTAACACACTCATGACGTCACTGATCTTAATTATACTTGTTGCACAAGTATCACCGGTACCTACACTGAGCACACACTAAGAACTCTATTTCCACTATCTTTAATTCTCATAATAATCCTCTAAGGTAGATTTCATAGTCCCCATTTCACAGATAAAGAAACTGAGGCTCAGGGAGGCTGAGCGAAGTTTAAGATCACTGGTCTGATTACCGCTGTATAGGAGTCACCCCAAACTTTGGGTCTTAAAACAAGTCTTATTCTGGGGGTTGACTGGGCTCCGCTGGCCAATTCTTGTTTGAGGTCACTCAGGAGGCCGTGATGAGAGGGTGGCTAGGGACGGAGTCAATGCAGCGATGCCTCACCACGCCCGTGTGTGTGGTGGATGCTGGCTACAGGCCAAACACCCACGGGGGGCGCTCCATAGGGTCTCTTCACTGGGGTCAGTTTGAGCTTCTGCACAAGATGTAACTGCATCCCAAAGAGGACAAGATGGGAAAAGGCGTGGCATTTTTTTGGTTGTGTCTCCAAAGGCACACAGCATCACTTCTGCCATCTTTTACTGGTTGTGGCAGTCACAGAGCTCTGCCCAGGTACAAGGGAGAGGAGAAAAGACCCCAGCTCTCGATGGGAAGAGTGTGGTCACGCTGCAAGAAGAGCAAGTGGGACCAGCTATAGCGTGGCGGCCATCGTGGGAAACAGCAATCGACTGTAATCGCACAGCAAGGAAATTTGTAGACAGTCCTTGAACCCACGTCATCTAGCTGCAAAGCCTGGGCGCTGAACCCAGTACGCTGCCACGGGGGACTCGCCACGCCTCCAGCTTTGTGACAGGAACACAGAATACAACACACCATGAAGACACTGACTGATGCGTGTGAACAGAAGGGGGAAGCCAAGAAGTTGAGACTCCCAGAAACACTATCCCAGGATTCAGCGAACAGTTGAGGATACTTAGCCTGAGGAAGACAAAACTGGAAAGTGGCATGACAGCCTCCTCAAGTACATTAACGGCAAACACGTGGCAGAGGGAAGGCAGACTGTGTGTCCCTCCTCCCTCCATAGCTCCAGCCCCCACGGCTGTGGGTTTGCCTCTTGGCTGCACCTCTTGGCAAACAGGTTATCCTCCCTGGGCCCCTTCTCCACATCTGTAAAATGGAGACGACAAAACTGTCTTCCAGGGTCGCTGTGAAACTTGAAAACAACATGTGGATAGCAACCTGGCATTCAGTGAATGCTCAACAAATGACAGCTGCTCTCATTGTTGTCACCGTTGTTGCTGTTTGATGGAGCTACTTAGCAATGAGATGACTGCCTTGTGGAAATGAGAGGTCCCCAGAAAGGACCTGTCCTTGGCAATGAGAAGGATCTGGACAGAATGTGGGACCAAAAGCCAGGGAGCTCTGGACCCCTGCCCACCTCAGGCCCACCAGACATGAAGTCCAACCCAATGAGACCTCTGTGTCCCTCAGGTGGACTTGGCCTTGAGGCCTGCTGGGACACCGGCCTCACTGGGTACAAGAGGTCACAGGGAAAGCAGAAGGCATGGGGCTGGGAGGGCAGCACCAGACCCCTAGAGAGGGGTGGACGGAGAGAGCAGAGGCAGCCATTAGCATCATAAAGACGGCACCGGGTTCTGGCATCCTTCATCTGGATGGGCTCCATCTACGTGGGGTTCCGGGGGCAGTCTCCCCTCCCCAGGGGAGTGAGACTGAGTTAGGGTCTAGGGCCTCGGGTAAGATTGGCGACCTCAAGAAGCACTGACTACAAATCAGGACACCAAGACCCAAATCGGATTTCATACAGCCTAGCAAACAGCACAGGGGCAAGCGGGGAGGGGGGGGGGGGGGGGGGGGGGGGGGGGGGGGGGAGGGGGGGGAGGGGAGGGGAGGGGAGGGGGGGGGGAGGGGAGGGAGGGGAGGGGAGGGGAAACAAACACCAATCTGTACAGCATTCAGTACGTGCCAGGAGTGGCTTTAAGGCTAACTCATTTAGTCGTCACAATGGTTCCATAAAGTATGTATCATTACTGTCCCCATTTTCCTCCGGGGACACCATCGCACAGAGAGGCTACGTTACTTGCCCAAGTTCCCACAGCTGCACAGTTGTCAAAGTCGCACTGGAACCCAGGAAATGTGGCTGCAGAGGCGTGATCCTCACCACTCCCCTCTTCTGCCTCTCTCCGTGAGAAGAAGAGTGCTAGCCAGGTGCACATGCCATTTAATTTAATTTACTGGTTAAAAGTAGTGATTCTCGCCCAAATTTCACAGGAGGAAAACAGAGGCTGAGGAACAGAGAAGCAGCCCCAATGTCAGATAGCCGGTGGGGGAAATGAGGGAGGGCAGGGGCCCAGGGCTATCAGCCCTTCCAGCTACACCAAGCCCTCTGTCTAATAGGCACGCGGACTTAGGACGCACCCGAGATGCTGGGCACTGGGGATGCAGAGCGGCAGAACCAGCTGATTCCCTCTGCTCCCTCTGGAGGCTGTGACCGAAGGTACCCTGGCCTGTCTTGGGCTGAGTGGGCCAAAGAGATGGATGTGTGTTCAGATCTCGGGGTCCGTGGCAGGGTCTCCGCGCTCTGACAGGGACAATGTCCCCAAGACAGCAGTTCCCTCCTCCCACCTGCCACTTCTCCCCGACAAATGCAGCCATGCCTGGGCCTGGTGTCGTTATGATAAATTCCTGTCTGATGGTAAAATTCTCAGGCCCCATCCCTGTCCGCCTATTAAGCTGCAAGACCTTTCCCTGGCTCACGAGGGAAAACATCAGAGAAAGAGGAGAAAGACTGGGTTTCCAGAACATTAAACTTCCATTGCCACTACTGCCTGCCAATCTCCCTCCTAATCACCTGAAGACAAGAAAGCCAACAGCCCTGGAGGGAGTGAGGGTGGGGGCTGGGTGCCTGCTGACCATCCTTGTCTTTTCCTCGGGAAGGGACCTTAGAAGATCCATTCATCCCCTGTCCTGACCCGGCCCAGACTCCCGTCACGCAGAGAAAGAAACCTGGCCCAGCCGAAGGGACAACTCTCCCTCCTTATTTGGTGACTAAAATATCAACTAGAGTTTATTCAAGAGCCAGCAAATATTTAGTGAGCGCATTCCATGTGCCAGACACTCCAACCCTCTGTCTCCAAAGTTTATAATCAGGGGTTTGAGCAACAAGGACCAAGGAAGGGAGGGGTGCTCAGATCTGAGGATATAAATGCCAAAAACCTTTCTCCCCGACCTCGACGCCAGCAACCCACAGAGCACGCGTCCTTTCTGCCTCCTTTTCTGGCTGGACTGGACCGGGGGAAGCCTCACGTGCGGCAGCAGGCTGACCCGACACAGAGGTTCAGTGGAATTCATCCAGCGGGGGGCAGCAGCGAGCTCACTGAGCTGACCGTGCATTTAGGAGACTCGGTCACTGTGCCAACTTGGACACGTCACTCAACGTCAGTGATTCTCAGTGTCATTATCTGTAAAATGAGATTAATACCACCACCTGGCCTTGGCAGGTGTGGCTCAGGGGGGTTGGGCGTCGTCCCACAAACCGAAAGGGTGCCAGTTGGGTATCCTGTCAGGGCACAGGCCTGGGTCGCAGGCCGGGTCCTGGGGGTGGGGGGGCCCTGCAGGAGGCAACTAACTGATGCTTCTCTCACACACTGATGTTTCTCTCCCTCGCTATCTCCCTCCCTGCTCCCTCCCTGTCTTTCTTTTTTTTTTTTTTAGAACTGAGAACCATTTCTTTTTTTTTTTTAAAGATTTTATTTATCTTTAGAGGGGAAGGGAAGGAGAGAGGGAGAGAAACATCAATGTATGGTTGTCTTTCATGCGTCCCCTGCTGGGAACTGGCCTGCAACCCCAGTATGTGCCCTGACTGGGAATCGAACTGCAATTGTCTGGTTCGCAGGCCCGTGCTCAATCCACTGAGCTACACCAGCCAGGGCTCCTCGCTGCCTTTCTAAAATAGTAAATGAATAAAATATTTTACAAAAATAATAATACCACCTACTTCCTGAATTGCTCATTCCACTCCAGCCTCTGTAAATAAGCAGTCACCACACTGCCCTCTGTGAGTCTATTGTAGAAGAGGCACACCAAAGGGAGTGGCCCTAGGGCATGGGGAAATG